AATCGTACGATTAGCTACATGTATTTTATGTCACTCGTGTCAAGTTCAAAATATGTAACGCAAAAAATCCACAAATTTATATCCTGCTTTTATACTTGTTTCACATAGAAAATGTAATTGGCACTGGTAGCTTATATCGAAGCTTAGCCTTGTATTCTGAACTGCAATTATTACTTCCGATACGAAGTTACTTTTTCTCAATCGATCAATATAATTATTTAAAATTACAGTAAGGCTTAAGACCTACCCGGGATTAAAGGACCACCCCCTTATTTAAGATTCGTTTTTTTTTTAAAGAGAGCGGAATTGTCTGTTCTTTATATCAATGGTTTCATTGATCCCAAAATTAAGGGGACCACCTGCTTATTCCACTATTAAGACCATATTATTCAGGCTTCCCCATTTTTTATTCCTTATTTGACCCCAGTAATTGAGAACATTATTAAAGTTCAACAAAAACTTCCAAGATCTTACACAAAGTTTTTGTTATTATCTGCTGCTTGAAAGCTCTTACGCATGGATCTTGATTCCACAATTGTCAAGAACGACACATTACTATTGGGTTTAATTATATGGAATAGGGGTGAGAGAGTGGGTTTACTGAATGCATCATTTTTTTGAAAAAAGAAGCTTTTATTTTATAAGGTGAAACTATGTACATCAAAATAACAATTAATATTGAAATCAGACCTAAAAGAATTCTTCAGAAAAAATGTTTTTCCTCTCATCAGATTGAATATAATAAATTGAACTTTTATATTGTATTTGCTAGTGAAGATACATTTGGTTTGTTCATAAAAATGACAATATACCATGGTCATAAAGTATGTAAGTAATGTTAGAATATCAACAACATAGACCAACCCGCAATTAAGACCACTTTGGTCCAGTCCCGATGGTGTTCTTAAATGAAGGATTTTTTAATGAATCAATGCAGTTATTCAGTAAATAAATATGTTCATTTGTATAAGATAATTGAAGTTAAAATAACAACTTAACTGTCTCAAAGGACAATTTAAGTAACTCATTGAATTTGTCTTATATATTGTAGATATCATTTGCAATTCATCTGCAAAAGCAACATAAATATGTTTCTGCAGTCTGTATTAAATTTATATATTTCATTTTCTTTGTGTGTATCCTTTGTATAATAAATGAGAAACTTGTAAACTTCGAATGAAAACATACATGAGATTCATAAATACATTTACGGTTATTTCTATAAAAATACGGGCTTTATATGCTTCTTAAATAATGTATAAATGAAGCTAGTTATGCCACTGTCACGGAAAATGTCTTTTCTTTATATCATATTTTCAATCTATTTAAGCAAGTAAGTCTACAATGGACATGTGTTCCGTTAGTATAGCTGCAAATATTTTAAACACAAAAAAAAAATATTTCATTTCATTTTGATAATCTTACTATGAAACTATACATTACTTTAAATTCTTGATAGAGTTGTAAAGAAATCAAGTTTGAAGATTTTTAGGATGTGTATTAATAATTTACTTTAGAACTACTTATTGTTTACTGTAAGTGGATATATTAATTGGATCACGTTTTAACATACTAACCAAAGAACATTCATATATGACTGTGTCCATGATTGTTGTCATGCCTGATAATAATTACTTTCAGGAACTTTTTTTTATGAAATTACAAACCCTCAAGTTTGCTTCCTTATTCGTTTGATTATGTGTCAAGAATATTTATGAAAGAAATCTATGTACATATGCATTAGATCATCTCTTGTTACATAGTAACAAACTCCATAAAAAGGAAGGAATATTTAAATTTCCTTCTCATTATTGTTAAGTAGACATTTCCTTGTTTATCCTTGTGTATCTGACTGTCAGTTACATTTCTCAGGGAGAAAGAATCAATCTTAATGTGTCATTTTATACTATCCATTTCTTTATTATTCTTGTTTATGAATCAAATTTAAAGCAAAGATATATTGATATATAACCATACCATTGTTACACGTTATTTAAAAATATGTTTATTGTGAAGCTTGTTGTATTATAACGCATGTTTACAAAAGTGTGTATTTGATAGTTCGATGTTATGCATCTACCTGAATTTCGGATAATCCTCTTGTGCTACCATTTTGATAATGTGTCAAAATATGTTGTTACGAACACTGTTATTTTTGACTGGAGCTAAACGTAAGTTTTATTTATAATAATGGAATTGTTCAGTATATAAGCAAACAGCAAGACCAAACACAATCTAATGGACGTTTGACAAAGGTTACTATACATTTTACATTTAAAGCGGCATGGCTCTAGATTTATGATTATTGTCCCCCGCCTTTTCGAAGAAAAAAGGGGATATAGAAATAGGCTCCGTCCGTCTGTCCGTCCGTCTGTCTTTCTGTCCGTCTGTCCGAGCAACCAAATAGGGTTAGGGGGCAATCTAACAGTAAACAGAACAAAACAGAACAATAGAGTTCATTCCGTAACAATAGAATAAGGGGCCATGGCCCTCTATTAAACAAAAGAAATGGCCCTTAAGTCCATTTAAGTGGCACGTTCGTCCGACTTTTTTCGTGTCCGGTCCATAACTTTGTCATTTAACAAACGAATTTGAAATAATTTAGCAAAAATGTTTGTTATAATAAGACAATGTGTCATGCGCAACAACCAGACTCTTACTGCCAGGGTCAAGGTCGCACTTGCTTATTCAAGGTCAACATTGTCTATTTGAGGGTATATGTCGTGCCCGGTACATAACTTTCTTAAGTTTAAAGGGGTTTTGTAAATACTTACCACAATTGTTCAAAATAATGAGACAATGTGTCATGCGCAATACCGTTTACCTACCTCCAATGTCAAGGTCACACTTGGAGATCAAAGATTAACATAGCCTGTTATAGGGTATATTTTGTGTCTGGTCAATACCTTTTTCATAGATCAAAGGATTTTGAAAATACTGGGCACAAATCGTCACTATAATAAGTCTATGTGTCATGTGCAACACATGCATCCCTGACTCCAAGGTCAAGGTCAAACTTAAAGGTAAAAAATTAACATTGTCTGTTAAAGGGTATATTTTGTGTCCGATCTATACCTTTTTATAGAGCAAAGGATTTTGAAAATACCTGGCACAAAAAGTCACTATTATAAGTCGATGTGTCATACGCAACACCTCCCTACAAGGTCAAGGTTACACTTAGAAGTCTGTTATAGGGTAGATAGATTTTCATTTTATTTCTTAAATATTTTTATTGCTGCATTTGCAGATCTAGCATTGATCATAATTTTGGACGGAAAGTCCTGAGATCCATACCTCAATCTTTTGAAATAGCACAATTTTATGCTTCATATAAAATTTACCTGAGGCGGGGGACGTTGGTAACTCTGCTACAAATTCTTGTTATATTAATCATGATGATATTAATTTGAAAAAATGTATTTAAAGATTGTGTTAAGTGAACTAAGAAAGTTATTTTCACATTGCAATCGCCACTAGGAACCCACGACGTAAATTACCAGAAGAGGTCAAAATACGCAAAAACAGCCCTGACTGCGTTAGTCATGCTAAAAATATTATGATAAATACTGAAAAATTAGTCACATTTCTTTTTTCAGGTTTAATTTTCTTTAAATATATTGGCTCCACTTGAGCTTTAAAATGTACTTATTGTATAGTTATGTGTACGGCCCGTCCCATCTTTGCCCTTAAGACTTCTCCCGTTTTGTATTGTGCTGCCGTTGTTGTTGTTGGATATCCTTCTTGGCTTATGTCCGGCCTGCACTATTTGAACTTCTCTTTTCTTTCTTGATCTCGTTTTGCCTATCCGTTATGTCTAGGACTCATGTGTGTTTTCGAGATTTACTGGTAATGCTCATGAATATGCGAATAATCTTTGAAAATCCCTTTACAGATATAGTTCTAGATAGCCCAAATATTTCACCAGATAACAATTACGTATTGATAGACAGCAGCTTGGAGCTGGAGTGTAATACTCTCGGAAATGCAACTGTGACGCAATGGGGAACTTTAAATCATCTGGACACATTCGCACACCTGTATTTCTCACGAGAAGGAGAATGTTCAACAGACGGATTCCTTGCTGATAATCGTTATTTTGAAACAAGTTGTTTTAGTAATGGTACTTTCAAAGTTAATATAAAGCGTATTAATATAAGTAACCATGGTCAAGAATGGTATTGTTCTCAAGGGTATGGGAATAGCAATATTGCTTACATTACTGTCCGAGGTAAGAATTATTTTAATGTATTTTCCTTTTAGTCAGATATTCGAACCTTAAAACTTTATTGTTGACTGTGACATTGATTGTTGTCAATTGTACAAGAGCAATCACAATCAGCAAAAGTTACGTCATATTAATATAGTATGCCGTTTTAGAAGACAACACACGAAAGTTGTTATGTTTTTTCTGTATATATTTATATCAAAACTATTGCTGTTTCACTTTAAAATTACTTTTCCCATATTTTCAATAAATCAACAATCCTACCTTCCTGTCTAGAATATATTACATTGAACAAAGTGAAGCTAATTACTACATCAGCACGACATTTCTTGATTTACCATCGATTGTCTTGGCATGTTTCAACCGCTTGAGCACGAACAAAATATTTATCTGTCATTAAAGAAGATTTATGTTTTAAATGCATGTTTGAGAAACAATTGACAACGTTAATGAGTAACGTCATATTTTAGCATCTTTATCAGATCAATAGCCAAAGAATAAGTTCACAAAAAAGGATTTTCCTTTTTGTGTTTGTGTCACCGATAAATAAATGTGTACTACTATGTATTTAGCAATCATTCTGTATATAATTATGATATTCGTAATACAAACAGATTATTGTTTAATTAATCATGAACAGTTATTTAAGGTATAATGAAAGCGTACTTTATAGTGATTATTGTGTTAACAGGCTACTACTATAGCATTTATTCTGACGTATGAAATACATAGTGTATGTTCACATAATGTATGTTTTCATAAGATACGCTTCATATACCACTTTTTCAGCTCCAGCAAAGAGTGTTAACATTGCATTTCACTATAATAAAAAAATGTATATAGAGGAAAATGAAATGCAAACTATCAGTTGTAATTCCTCGTCATGCTTTCCAAAACCGATAATCAAATGGTACCTTCGAAAAATTCAACTGATACAGAAGAGATAAAAAACCTTTCGAGACAATCCTATATTTCACAGAAAGACGGGTTGACATCAGCTGAAAGTATAATTCATCTTCTTCTAAATAGGACACACGACAGTTGGTATCTATATTGTGAAGTATGGACAAGATCGGCATATTTCGACATTACAAGCAAAGAAATTTTACTAAATGTGACATGTACGTAATTGAACAAACATTGCAAACATTTGATTATACTGATCGTTTTTGCATAAAGAACTATCATTTTCTTAATAATACTTTCATGATTATTTTATTAGTATCATCATTATAATTCATTAGTATTACAATTATTTTATCATTAATTTAGGATATAAAGATAACATAACATGATTTGATTTGAAATACTGATTATTTATTTACTTGATATCACTAAAGATCCACCTGATGGCCCTCCAGTTATAGTTGGCTATGAACAGGACAAGATATATCAGATTGTTGAGTCAGAATTGGTAAAACTGAATTGCACTGTTACTGGAGGTAAACCATTGGCCACCTTAAAAATGGTTTGTTTCAACACTAGTACAACACAAAACGCTATCACAACAGAGGCAACGGTAACTATACAAATTGCATGTAAGGCAATACGCAATCACAGTAACTGCACATGTCAGTCTGATCATATCGTTGGTGGTTCTCAGAAAACATACATCAGTTTTGATGTCCTGTGTAAGTGTTATATGATATACTATATTTCTGTGTTGTTTTTGTTTTTTTGCATTTTTTTCACAACTGTTCAATAGTATACTAATATTTTATAAATTTATAGCTTAATGAAGCTTTAAAAGAAAATCGTTGTTGTTTTTTCGCCTGTATAAAAGTTATTTCAGTAAATCATATTACAGATCAGTAAATAATATATATGTTGACATTATCTTGTTTGAGCAATATATATACATTAAAGTTGCTAACTTTGAGTAGGTCTTTAGGTATATGTACGAAAAAATTGTTAGGCAAATTTAAGGAAGGGGTAAATCAGACTAATGTAAATGTGTGCCGTTCATTTCAGTTCCTCCAAGTAATATTAACTTCGCCATACCAGGAAAGAAATCAGAAACAGAACAGTTCGTTGTCAAGAAAAATGAAGACGTGACCTTAGAGTGCATTGCCGAGTCTAATCCTTATTCAGAAATAGTAATCAAAAATGAAATGAACGAAAAAATTGCTTGGAAGATAAACAATATTTCTGTTCAACATACTATTCATAACTTATCTTGCACTGATGCGGGAGAGTATTCGTGTTCTGCTAGAAACACATTAATAATTGGACAAGGAGTTACATCCAGACTGATTCTCATAGTCAAATGTAAGTTCTGACGCTCCTTTGTGTTTATTGAGTTATTCTATTTATTTATTTCAACTATTTTTGTAATGATTTACTCGCTTGACTTTTTAAACTTTTCCTTCCATCCTTAACTTGCTTTCAATAAGAATTTAATATGAAAGAAACAAACTTGCTATTGGTAACTTTATAGAGACATTGTTTATTCATATTGGTTTATACAGAATTCATTTTAGTTCGAATGTGCAGGAAGCTATAAGGTTAAAGACACACTTTCGAATCCGTTCCTTGAACCAAGCAGTACTGAGCAATGAGTGAAAGGTTTCTTGCTCAAGGAAACAACGACTTGACCCTGACGGGGTTTGAACCCATGCGGTTGGCTATCATTAGATTATTTAGTCCGACGCGTTAACCACTCGGCCATGCCGCCACTTCATATTCATATTAATGTGGCAAAATTACGAAATAAATTTCAACATCACAATTTTATTTTTAACTATAATGCAAAAACAATCAACAATCCGCATTAGCAACAAAAAAATCTGTCATTTATCGTTCAAAATGCATCGGTAACGCTCAATTCTAAAAAGAGAGAGTGGGACAGTTTATGTATAATTTAGGTTGTTGTCCCCCGCCTTTTCGAAGAAAAAATGGGGATATAGAAATAGGCTCCGTTCGTCTGTCCGTCCGTCACACTTTCGTGTCCAGTTCATTACTTTGTCATTTATCAAAGGAATTTGAAGTAACTTTACACAAATGTTTGTTATAATAAGACGATGTGTCATGCGCAACAACCAGACCCCTACCTCCAGGGTAATGGTCGTACTTGCCTTATTCAAGGTCAACATTGTCTATATGAAGGTTTATGTCGTGTCCGGTCAATAACTTTCTTATCTTTGAAGGAATTTTGTAAATACTTACCACAATTGTTCATAACAATGAGAAGATGTGTCATGCGCAACAACCGGTCACCTACCTCCAAGGTCAAGATCACACTTGCAGGTCAAAGATTAACATAGTCTGTTATAGGGTATATTTTGTGTACGGTCAATAACTTTTTCATAGATCAAAGGATTTTGAAAATACTTGACACAAATAGTTACTATTATTACGATGTGTCATACGCAACACAAGCATTCCTACCTCCAAGGTTAAGGTCACACTCAAATTTTTGATACACAAAAAATAACATAGTCTATTACAGGGTATATTTTGTGTCCGATTTAGAACTTCTTCATAATTCAAGGGATTTTGAAATAACTTGGTTTAAATAGTCAATATAATAAGACGATATGTCAAGTGCAACACCTGCACCCCTACCTCCAAGGTTAAGGTGACACTTAGAGGTCAAAGGTTAACAGAGCCTGTTATGTGGTTTATTTTGTGTCCCGTCCGTAACTTCTGCGTAGATGAAGGAAACATACTTGGCACAAATAGTCACAATGATAAGATATATATTAGGCGTAACACCAGTGTCCCTACCTCCACGGTCGAGGTCACACTTAGTGGTCAAAAATTTACATTGTCTGTAATAGGGTATATTTTGTGTCCAGTCCGTAACTTAGCTATTGATCAAGGGATTTTAAAAAATACTTTGCACAAACTATCAAAATAATAAGACGATATGTTAGGCGCAAATATATGGGTCCGCAATTAGAGGTCAAAGATTAACATAGTCTGTTATTTATAAGTATAGTGTCAAAACATGGGTCCGCAATTAGAGGTCAAAGATTAACATAGTCTGTTATTTATAAGGTATATTTTGTGTCCGATCTATAACTTCTTTATAGTTCAAGGGATTATGCAAATTCTTGGCACAAAAAGTTACAATAATAAGACAATATGTCATGTACAACACCCGCACCCTATCTCCAAGGTCAAGGCCACACTTAGAGGTCAAAGCTTAGCCTGATAGATTTTTTTTTTAATTCCGAGTTTCCTTTTATTTCTTTAATAAATTTATTGTTGCATTTGCAGATCTAGCATTGATCATAATTTTGGACTGAAAGTCCTGAGATCCGATCCTTACCTCAATCTTTTGAAATAGCACAATTTTATGCTTCATATAAAACTTCTCTGAGGCGGGGGACGTTGGTTACTCTGATACAAATTCTTGTTTATTATGTTGTAAAAATTTTATTCATTATTTTTTTATCGTTCAATCACCGTTATAATAGTTATTATTAATGTTTGTGATTTACCTAAAATTGAAAGCTAAATAAAAAAGAAAAATGTCATTTTAAGCTGAAAATTTGCACTGAATTATAGTTTACAATAATATTATGAGGGATAATGGTAATTTAATTTTCGGCACCTTGTGATTTTAATACTCCTATGTTTACAGGTCCACCTAGGCCATCAGCTGACAACATAAAAGAAAAAAAAGTAACTGCTGTTCTTCATTCTGATGTCACGCTGCAATTCTTAGCACAAAGATATTTTGACGAGGAAAATAGCACTATATTCACATGGTATAACAAGAACTCGTCGTTACAGAATGGCGGTAGGAAATACATTATTTCATCGCTTGGATTACAATCCACCTTAATAGTTAGAAACGTGACGCAGTCAGACTATGGGCAATACCATATTGAGGTCAGGAATTCAGCTGGTTTTTACATTCACTACTATGAATTGCAAACAAAGGGTAGATACTTATGTATTAAGATACTTTCTTTTATGATAATCTACATACTATATATCTTTTATAGAATTATATTTTTTTTACTAAAAGAAGATGTGTTGATTTAAATGTTGTTAGATAGGTTTATAACGTAAGCTTGAACCAGTTCAATGTTTCTGTAGAAAATATATCTAAATATAAATATATTATTGTGACTTATAATTTTCGTAATATGAAAACAATTTAAAACCATATTTTTGTTATTGGCCAAACATTAATACATCTGAATCTCTTGACTTCACCACGTTCATTAAAACTTTGAATGATTTAGCTAAATTCATGTACTCAGAATGAGAAAAGGAAACGTATAATGAACCATATTCTACATCAATTCTAGCATACGTTAGATAGTATGATATTTATATTTTATGACATGAAAATATTGTAAACAAAATAATATATTGTTTCAATTCAAATATAAAGATTCACAAAAAAGCTAAGCAACCGACGACAGCTTCTACCTTGATTTGGACATTTGTTTTTGTCACAGCTGGTACATTTGTTTCTACAGATGTATTGGCATTGCCTCTTATGTACTCTCTGTGCGCTATATTATGAACTATTAAATTGAATTGTGCTATAGGCTTTGTATTTAAATGCTTTATGTAATGAATTTAATTACAAATATTTGTTATATTAATAAAGACCGTACCATGTTTTTTTCCACAAAAGCTAAGCAACCGACGACAGATTCTACCTTGATTTAGACATTGATTTGTGTCTCAGATGGTACATTTGTTTCTACCATTCTAGCAGGTGTAGTGGCATTTTTGTGTTGCAAATTTATCAGGTAATGTCTATATTTGATATTTTAAAAAGCGGATAAACAGCTTTATGTCAAGTGTATTTTATTACCCCTCACTTTTTGTAATGTAATTTCCCATATGCCACTCTGCTTAAGTAGGTGTACCACGTGACTAACAAAATTTGTCATGTTACAGGGTAAAAACTATTTTTAACAGTGTAAAAAGCTGGTCACGGGTTGTTTTGTTGTGTGTTTTTTGTTGTTGTTTTTTTTTTTTCTAAAAAAATAAAATAAAATGACAGCCTTTCTGTTTCCGCGTTTTAACCTCACCCAAAAAATTAGCTGAAAGAATTACAGAGTTCTTTCCTTGTCTTAAATACCTTTTGGTTGAATAGTCAAAAAATAAACATCCGTCTAGAGCGGGGGTTATTGCATGGGAATAATAACATGTATGTGTCAAAATAGAACGAGCAGACGATTAAAGCATGCAATAATTTTTTATGTATTTAATTTAATCCGTAAAACATTAACATATGTGACAGGCAGATGTAGGATATCATCGTTAAAAGAAATTGTAAAAAAACATGTGTTGAATATTCTTGATAGGATCAGCTTTCACATATCATAACAGTATAAATTGGATTGTGTTTTGATTCGAAACGAAATCATGAAACACAGCTTATTGTATGTTTATGAATGGTAGATATCATCATTTGCTTCATAAACGTGCAAGGTAAAGACAGGTGAAAGGTTCAATTTTGTTACAGTTAGATTCAGTTGAAATTTTAAAATGGTTACAGTATTTGTATGGGGAAATAAAATATGTAAACACGAGTTTGCGATTAATAGTATATAAATAACACATAGGTTTGTGGGTAACAGTTAAAATATCATCCCGAGAAAAATATTATTACCCGAGTTGTAGCCGAGGGTAGAAGTATTTTTACGAGGGATGATATCTTTTTCTGTTACTCGAAAACCCATGCGGTATTAACCTCCGCCGAATGGCGGTGGGTAGTCTTCGTCCGTCCGTCATTCCGTCCCACATTTTTGTCCGGAGCATATCTCGAAAAGTATTTGAGGTATCAACTTGAAACTTCATAGGTGGATAGATCTCATTGAGGAGGAGTGCAGTACACAAGAATGATAACCTATTCTGTATAATTTTTCAGTTATTGTCCTTTGTTATTTTCAGCCATCAGTTTTCACATAAGTTTCAAATCTGTAATCACTTCAGTGATCAGTTTTCATTACCAAAAGACCTCTAAAAATTGATTTATTCTGCTTTGCTACATACACATTCTTCCAATGAGCAAACACATTCGGCGGGGGATGGTATGGCTCTTGTTTATTTATTGTTTTACCCCGAACAAATACTGTAATGATCTGAAAATGTCAACTTAACACAATAACTGTAACAAAAATAAACCAAGAGTAACAATAACTAAACTGTCCTTACCTTGCAAGTTTAAAGTGTACTGCGGGCCTATTTGAGAAGTTTATATATTTTATTCTTTATGCAAGTGATAATATCTACCAGTCATAAACATACAATAAGCTGTGTTTTATTTAGAAAACAAAACACTGACTCATTTTTTACGGCTATGATCTGTAAAATGTTTGCCTTCTGTATCCCGAATATTCTTCGCATGGTTTTTGACAAAGTGCATTTACAAAATAACAATGATGTCCTTTGTCTGTCCACCATATCTGTAACGTTTCATTGATTAAAATGGTTAAATACTCATTTGTTGCATGCATGCTCCAGTTTTACACATACTAATTCACATTGCAATTACTTCCGTTGAAAACGGATGTTTACTTTTGGACTATTCAACAAAAAGATATATTATAGGCGAAAAGCACTCCAGGGTGCAAACAACTGAACTTAACGGGTGCCATAGTAACTCTTGTGATGCCCTATCGTGGTAAATTTCGAAAATAAAAATTAATCAAGAAAAAATAGCGGCCATTGTTTTCATTTTATTAAGAAAATAGACCACGTGACCAGACTTTATACTGTTAAAAAGTTCTGTTACCTATGTAACAGTACAAAATTCTTAGTCAAGTGGTACACTTGCTTTAACAGAAAGAATAACTCTCAGAGGCCTATGGTGAAATTAACATTACGAAAAAAGAGAGGGGTAGTAATAAAAATTAACTCCTCGGGTAGCAGTATTTTCCTCGAGATGATATTTTTGCTGTTACCCACAAGCCCATGAGCTGTTTATCTAGTATTACTGTTTATCATGTATCAACAGATTTTTTATGTTATCCGTTATTCATTGTAACAAGTTGTTGTTGTAAAGGTGTTTTTCACTTGTAAAAAGAATCTGAATAATAGAAAATTTTAAGCTATGCAGTAGTGTAGTCAGTGCGTAAATCTTAGACTCATTTATTTCAGAAGAAGACAAAATGTTAAACAGTCATCAAAACAAACAGTTGGTAAGCATATAATTAAATTATGAAGTTATTATCAACATCAAAAAACCGAGACTTTTTACGGTTATTAAAATAGAGAAAATCAAAGTCCCTAATGAATGCCAAAAACAACAAAACTCATAATATTGTAGGTCCTGTAAAGGATAATTGATAGTTGTGACAATTTTTTTCCAAACCGAATAGCATATATTAAACAAGCATTGAAATAAAACTACTTTAGATGACTTTTTGACATGGCTGTCATTTTTTATATTGTCGTAAATATTTTATATAAAGCATTGTTTATACAAGCACTTCAAATGTGTTTCTAAAACATTGTTGGCAATCTATTGACAAACTGTGATACAATTTTGTTGGATGACTTATTGTCTACGTGTTATAAGTATCACGTGTATTTTCAATGACTTCATTTAGAAGATATCCATGAAAACCAGCCCACGTTTAATCCTGATGAAATTGATGCCGTTCATGAGTATGAAGAACTTGATGATGAACATCGTTTTGATGATAGAACATACATGGAAATGCATTCAATAAAAACGGGCGATGATACACACCGAGACTATATCACTCCGACTCTTTAGTGTTTTACACAGAACTTTTGTGAACAAAATTATGTAATATTAAAATGTCAGGACAAGTTCATCATTTTTTCCGTGGAATAATGTGCATTATTATGATCATAGAACAGTTCCGAGTCCATTTTAGTCATTACTTGTGGTTTTAATGTACTATATATCAGTTTTCTTGTTTTTTAGTGACTTGGACGGATACAATAATTTCATCCTAAGATAAAGTCTTACATTTTATTAATGACGATACCGTTGTTAACTAATAATTATGTATTATATTTAGAATATATGATGAGAATTTAGTAAAGCTTAAACGGTACATGTTTCAGTTTGTAAGAATTATACACAGTTCTTTTTGAAAGTTTTTCTCATAGATTGGTGATAACGACGATTCATTCAATTTCATTATTTTATGTAAAAGAAGTACTTTTTCCATAGTTTAATCTTGTTTTCTTCACTTTACTGCAAATGAAAAAATGGAGAGTCGAAAAGTGGGCAATATACGTGTTTGTTTGTTTTGGGTTTTACGTCACATCGACACAGTATAGGTCATATCGCGACGTTCCAGCTTTACTGGTGGAGGAAGACCTCAGGTGCCCTTCCGTGCATTATTTTAGGCACGAACGGGCCAATATACGTGTTGTCGCATGTTAACTGTTTGATGAAAGTTTGAAAAATATCTCAAGCGTATATAATGTAATATGGTTAACTGCTGTGGACAATGGTTCATCAAAACTTAGGTATCCGACAAGGCAGGTTGCCAAATTAAGAATTATTATATAAATAACACATGGGTTTGAAGGGAAACAGCAAAAATATCATCCAGAGGAAAATGCTGTACCCGAGGCAACTAAATCTAACTGTAACAAAAATAAACCAAGAATTACAATAACATAACTATCCTTTCCTGTTCAATTTTAAGTGTGCTGTACAGTAGGCCTGCATGAGATTTTTTTCTTTTATACTTTAAGCGAGTGATGATATCTACCAGTCATAAACATACAATAAGCTGTGTTTTATTTAGAAAACAAAACACAAACCAATTTATACGGTTATGATCAGTGAAATCTGATCCTTCTGTATATATTCTTAAAGTATTTAAGATCTTAACTGTTTTTAGGTATTTTAAAGTGTAAAGAATCAAACATCTGAGCTGTTTTAAAATATTGTAACAAATTAAAGTTCTTATCTAATAGTTAAGTAATATTATCAATCAAACAACTACTCAGATGTGTATTTTATTTGATCTTACTTGACTGCTCACATATGAATATGTAAAATACCTTTTTGTGTTAGGTTTAATCTGATGTGGATTGTATATTATGATTCTAGTAACATGTTTGTAACAACATACATATAGTCTCTTATAATTCTTTATAAGAATGACTATTTACATGTATTGAATGTATATTTGTATTATATGTACATGTAATGGATGAGACTTAAAAAACTAATAAACTAATAAACTTAGACTAATACAGTAACTATAAACTACAGTTACCCCTGTAAAAGTATAAATTTCATGGTCACGTGGTACACTTGCATTAACAGTAAGAATAACTCCCAGAGGCCTATGGGAAATTAACATTACGAAAAAAAGTTAGGGGTAATAAACTTTAATCCCACATTTGCTGTTTTGCTGCGGGTTAAGGTAACCATCAGCTAAGTTACTACTTACTCTTTAAGAAGATAATTCCTAATACAATATTTCATGTGTCTTAGATATCAATTATGTATCTATTGTGTTAAATCTGTAACATTGTGGATGATTTATAAGTCCACTGATATATAAAAAGCTT